TAAAGTTCAGTGTTGTCTTTCGATCAGGCCATTTGCCTGTGGATGGTTACACAGTTGTAGCGTTTGTATGAAAACCAAGATATTCTTCCTTAAAGCTTGAAAAAGTTGGCTATCAAATTGCCGACCTTGGTCAGATGTTATGCGATTCGGAATTCCAAAGCGTGAAAACCAAGTATAAATCAAGAGCTTTAGTAATAGATTCTGCTTGATTGATCTTCTAACGGTGCCGCTTCGATCCATCGTGTATAACGATCGATGATAATTAGAAGATATTTGAATCCTTTACAAGGAGGTAGCGGACCAACCAAGATCTATGTTTAAATGCTGGAATCTGTGTAGAGGTACTTTGAATTCTCCCAAAGATGACAGTGTATGTCTATTGTCTGTGAACTTTAGATCTTTGGCAAGATAAACATGCTCTAGTCCATGGTTGGACAGTCTTTATTCATATTTGGGCCATATGAAATGTTGTTGTTATCAATTTTATCGTGGATCTTATTCCAAGGATGAGATAAATTATGGATTGACGAAAATATTTTCTGCCGAAACTTTGCAGGGATAATTGGTCGATTATTATTTGTAGAAGTATCACAGTAAATTTTCTTGTCGCTGTCTGGCATACGGATCTGTAAGGATTTTTAAGTTTGGGTTGCTTTTCATTGTCTCCAAAGTCTTCATCTTCTTGACAGTCTTACTATAGTTTGTAAGTCTATTGCAGATGGTACGGGAAATGGTGTCTATGCGAGAGAGAGCGTCAGCGGCGGTATTTTCATGCCCTTGTATGAATCGGATATCGGTTGAGAAACTGGCCAATATATGACAGTGTCTAGCTTGTCGTGGCGAAGCTTTTTCCAAATTTTGTTGGAAGGCAAATGTTAGTGGTTTGTGATCCGTGTATATTGCAAAAGGTCGCCCTTCTAAGATGTATTTGAAATGTTTTACTGCTGTATAGATGGCTAAGAGTTCTCTGTCGTAGGCACTATATTTTTGTTGTGCTGGTGTCAAATTTCGGGAAAAGAAACTTAAGGGTTGTTTTTCATTGTTCACAATCTGATGTAAAACGGCTCCAATGGCAGTATCGGAAGCATCAGTTGTTAGCGATATTTCAGCCTTTTCGGATGGGTGAGTTAAGTTTGTGGCATGAATAAGTGCATCTTTTAAAGATCTGGAAGGCGTTTCTTGTTTCTGCCGTCCAGGTTATTTCTTTTCTGGAGTTTTTTTTATACCACTGAGCAATGTTGTTAAAGGTTGTTGCAGTTTGCAAACAATTTGGTATGAATCTGTGATAAAAATTCACCATACCTAAAAATCGTCTTAAACTAGTAAATGACTTTGGTTCTGGGAAATTTTTGATGGCATCAACTTTCGTTGAAAGAGGTTTGAGTCCTTCAGCTGACACTTCGTATCCCAGGAATGCAAGTTTTGCTTGACCAAATTTACACTTTGCCGCATTAATACAGAGGCCATATTCGTTTAGTCTCTCGAGGACTGCTCGTATATGTTTTCGATGAGTTTCTTCATCTGGAGAGGCTATTAGAATGTCTTCCAAATAGCAAAACACGAATTCTAGTCCATTCAACACACTGTTCATGAAACGTTGGAACGTTTGGGCCGCATTTCGTAGGCCGAACGTCATGAATGGGAACTCGAATAAGCCAAAGAGAGTGCGAATGGCCGTTTTCGGTATATCTTCTTCGCGAACTGGAATTTGTTGGTACACTCTAATGAGGTCTATGGATGAGAAAACTTTTTTTCCAGCTAAAATGGAACTGCAATCTGTTAAAAATGGGAGAAGGTATCTATCAGGAATCGTGACGTTGTTTAACGCTCGATAGTCTCCACAAGGTCTCCAATCACCTGATTTCTTCATAGCGAGATGTAGTGGGCTCAACCAATTACTTTTGGATGGCCTGCATAAACCCATTTGGAGCATAAATTCAAACTCCTTTTTAGCCGCTTTGAGTTTCTCAGCTGATAGTCTCCTGGCTTTAGCGAAAACTGGTGGACCTCTGGTTTCGATATAATGTTCGATGTTATGATTTTTAACTTTATTATTAACTACATTCAGTTTCAACAAATCCGGAAAATCGTTAATGATACGTTTATATGGATCATTTACGGCATTTAAAATCGGAATATTATTATTGTTATTTTGAAAACAAGGAGTTCCATTGGTTGTTAAGAATGTAGTACCATCAATCAACTTGCGATTTTTAGAATCTACCAAAAGGTTAAAATTTGCAAGAAAATCCATGCCTATTATCGGTTTGTTTTACGTCCGCAATTACAAAAGGCCATGTGAATGATCGTCTGAGTCCAAGATCAAGCTTGAGTAATTTTTGGCCCATATGTTTTAATTTTCGTACCATTTGCAGCAAAGAGTTCTAATTTTGAGATTTTTTTTTTATCTGCAGGCAAGGGAGGAATGACAGAAATTATCTGCCCCAGTAATCTATTAAAAATTGGGTAGCCGATTCTTTGTCGCTGATGAAAAGACGACTCAGCTGCAACCCTTGTCCCTCCGTCGTCAATGAGAGAACGGGGAGCTGGTTTTCCGCGACTATTTGTCTGTGATTTGTTGATGAGGTAGTTGCAGGGTTGTTTACACTTAAATCACTTATCACCGAATTTTTTATGATAGTAACAAATATCACTAGATCTATTACCACTGTAACTCCTATCTCGTGACTTGGATCGGTTACGACAATAGGGATGACTGTGGCGTTGCTTGTTTAAAGCAGAAACTTGTAAACTAAGTTCACTAACCTGTTTCTGTAAACTTTCAATCACTTCCGTTTTTACCGTTATGGATGATGCAGCAGCTATTTGGGGAGTAACAGGGTTTAATTCCCAAATCTTATCGGCCATTGTAGCCACTTTTGACAAATCTTCACTACTAACAGATATAATATGCTACCGCATATTAACGGGTAAACGTTGTAGCCACAATGTTTTTAGGAAAGTATCTGTTACTTTATTCGCCCAGCCAAATTACGCATCTCACACAGTAAGTTGAGATGGCTTTTTCTCACCCAGTTCTAACTCACTCAGTAATTTTTGGGTTTTTTGAGTCTCTGAATCAGCATATAATGAAATTAGTCTATTTTTAATTTGCCTTCATATTTATTATCTTGTGGTGGACTTAGCAAAATATCAGATACCTGTGACAAAATATCGGGTTCAATGGAACTTATAACATAATCATATTTTGTTTGATCTGCACTAATTTTTGCATTTCTAAATTGTGCTTCTAGTTGAATAAACCATATTTTAGGATCTGGCTTCCAAAAAGGAGGAACTTTAACGCTTACCTTGGCGACAGATGCAGTTGTTGCTTTAATTTCGGTTTCGTCTTCGTCAGCCATTGTAGAATTCGATCACGCCGGGATACACCAGTGAAGTGTCTGGTATGCAAATGTAAGAGAATAACACTTCTCTGACTCCAATGGAACCAATATTTTATTCCTTACAAAGTTATAGATTCTTATTCATAAGATTTATTTACATTTTACATGCACGTAGAATCGCGTGACAGAAAACCGAAGTTTGTTTACTTCGTTCTTCGCGGAGACTAGAACGTGTTGCCATTCCGCTTTAACTAAATTTCATTAGAAACTTAACGGAACTGAAGCTACACTACATGATTGGTCAAAACACATCTTTAAAGCTAAATGTCTAATAAGTATAAAAAATGTAAACAAATGACTGATTGTCCCCCCCCCCAAAATCAGTCATTCAAACTATTCCAACCGTTCAGGAAAACGATAAACATTGTGAACATAAAAATCTGCCCCTTTTTATATATATTTTAATAAAAGGATATGTGTTCCTTCCTTTAATATATAAAGGAAAAGAACCCATTTTCCTTTCTAAACTTTTTGAAAGTCGAAAACGCTTAAAAGATGATAAACTACGCCAAGGTAGTAACCCGCCTTTAAAAAAAAGATTCACTACAACACTTTCGATTGGGTTCAAATGACGGATCCGCAAACTCAATGTGCATGCGTGGTTAATGTTGGTGCGAATAGCTCAAGCGGCTAATCGCACCACTGGTGCGAATAGCATCGGCCGCGACCACACGTTACAAACTATCTTCCTAGCCCACCATATTGCAATAATACCCTGGTCTGCCCGTTCTCCAGATCTGTCGCCCATCGAAAATGTATGGTTAAGGACTTGCTTTTCTTTTGGTTGGTAAACCAAGGGTAGAAAGTTAACCTCCATTTAACGATTGTTTCTCAGAAAAAGATAGTCATCAAAAGTTAACATCGATTTCCTAGTCTTACTTATTGCTAAAATAAAATTTTATGAGATCAAAAGAATTTTCTGCTGAAATAGTGCTTCAATTTCATAAAGAAATGCCGGAATTCGTCTTATTGAGGGATCTGGTACCCCCCAGGCTAGATTTGTAATTTATCTCAAAATTGAGAAATACCAGAGTTGGGCTAGCACAATTGGATTGCTTAAAGTCTAGCAATAATTGCTTGGTGGAATGAGTATATGTCTGTCGAAGAAATAAGAATTTGCGTTGTTCTAAAAGGGAATCTGCCAGACTCTTAATATTATGAGTGCATTCTGCACACAGAGTATAAAGTACGGAGCTCACTGAGTATTTATACTCCGGACCCTGCTAAATGGCATTAAAAAAGGGGTAAGCGAAAGATTAGGTGGAATCCAAGATCAGTAAAATGGAGGTTAGAATAGACCTAACCTCCTTGGGTCATAATGCTGAAGAGAAACCAGAAATAGACTTTGAATGGTCGCCGCTTTTTCGGATGGCCCAGGAAGGCCGACCAAGTAAGAACATCTACGAAATGAGTGTTTTAAGAGTTGAGTTGACTTACTGTTATTCGAGTTGAGAATATAGAAATGGAACATTTCCAATTTGGTTTTATTAATTTTCACAAGGAATATTAATTTTATTATGCTGCGATTTTTAAATTAAATTTGGATAAATTAGTGAGTAATATATTTAATATAAATTAGAGAAATTCCGAATACAGTTCTGTAGACGCGCGCAGAGCGCACGTATTCTTCTGACGTCATAAAACACTGTCTGTATTATTAGCAAAGTTTTTATTTTGCTCAATATGAATGAGTTAGATATGAAATCGTTACCGTGGAAGATTAAATATTTTTATGTTATGAAAGTAAGTTGAATAGCAATTTGCATATAATACCGTTTTCCTATGGGATTTATGCTTTTGTATAAGTAAAAATAATAACTTTGAAAATTAAGTATATTAATGTTTTGCATTATTTAATCAGTGTTTTCGATTTTTGAAGTGTAGCATAAACAAAATGAAACTCTTGCAGTGTGTAATGTGTGATGGCAAGTTTATAATTTATTGATAAATGAAACTAGTGCTATTCATTTGACAATAAAGTTGATTCCGGAAGATGACATGCAATTCTATTATTAGATTGATTGTCATATTTGTGTAGTGTTTAAATTATTTATTTCAAAGTGTAAATAAAAATTCTAGTATGAAAACTTTAAGCATAAATCGAGTAAAGAGGTATCCTACGTTTATTACAAGGTAGCTGTGTTTCAGATGCATCTTGAGGTGTGTGTGAAATTGGTTGTTTGTATGCATAATATCCAATATTTATGTAGCATGCACATTTTTACCATAAGCCAATGTATATTCCTTATTAATTTTACCATGTTAAGTTTCAAATTGCAGCATTTCTGTCTTTAATTACGACTTTAATGACTCATTGTGTATTGCATTTTTTTTTTTTTTTTTTTCTCTTCCTACTATTACTAATGAAATCTTAAAATTTTTAGGGAAAATGGATATTGCAAAATGAATGCATCTAAAATTTCGGTACAAAGATAGTAAGGAGATAGCAGGACATTTGACATTGGTTGCTCATGAGAGGTATGTTGAATAAATTTTAGTATCATGTTAGAATATGTGGTGTTAAAATGTATTAATAAACGATCTTCAGTTGAGGAACTGTATGTAAATTATTAAATATGACACCTATATTTAAAAGATGTAGTAGCATGGTGATTTTTTCCTAATATAATTGTTTTGAATATAGTTTTTGTAATTTTCACTTGTTTTGTGAAAATTTTAATGCATGCTTTTCAGATTTTCAAAAATTCACACATTCGTGTATTAATTCTGATATATAATATTGTTGTGAGAAAGTATTGTATGCATATGTTAGATAGTAATCTTTATGAAGAAAAGAAATTATGTAATCATTATGAAGATAAGAAATTGATAGAATAATTCTTCTTCTTAAATTTCGTTAAAATTTTCTCGAATTTAATGATAAAAAATATCGTTACAAGTGAGATCTTTTACTGAAAAAATTTAAAATACCAAATTTACACCTTTTAATTTCCCATTAATTTCTACCTGTTGTTGTCCTGGTAAATCTGTAAGAGTGTATAGGTTTATTGAGTTGCCAAGATTATTTTTAATTCTGTAAGAGTGAACCTAGATTGTCTTTATTTAGTAAAAGTTTTGGTTGATCTTTAGATTATGGTAACTTGGCAATTTTTTGGCGAAAATTTGGCGACCAACTCTCCTACAGCAACCCTCTATTTTTTTTTTCCCGCCGCCATTTTGTCTTCACGAAGTAGACATGTTTCTCTTCTTTTTATCTTCTGAACACTTCTTCCAACAATCTACTAGCCGAATTACACTTATGCTAGAAATTTTATCTAACAAAACTGCTTAATCATGACAAATATTAACTGCAAAATTGGGAAAAAGTGCACAATCGCAAACTCCTTGCGCGTTTTTCAAAATAAGCACATACACATAAACCATTTACACGTCGACTTATTTTTACTTAAAAAAACATCCCAGAATTGCACAAAAATGGCATTGCGCACACTCTTCAACTTATCCATGTACCACTGCTTTTTCTCATAAATTACAAAAATTTGCACGAAAATGCAAAAAAATTTCTGTAAATCTTTAAAACTCGGTAAAAAGCACATATATGAAATTACCTGATCGCGAAAAAGTATATACCCTTTCCAAGCATGAACATTTCCACGTATAAAATAAATAAAATATCCAAAAACTTTTACCTCTAAATTATCTATTATATTATAAACATCACCAACGAATTCATACCGCAAACATTACAAATGGTTACAATATTTAGTGTCAAATATTAAATTATTTCATGCACGTTTACTTCAACTTGAAACGTATACCAAATTCCTACAAACATAAAATTCACAAAATAACTATCATTTAATTAAAATATCACTAAACCATGTACATGTCGACTTATTTTTACTTAAAAAAAATCCCAGAATTGCACAAAAATGGCATTGCGCACACTCTTCACTATATCCATGTACACTGCTTTTTTCTCATAAATTAGAAAAATTTCACGAAAATGCATGAAAATTTTGTGAATCTTTAAATCCGGTAAAAAGAACATATATGAAATTACCTTATCGCGAAAAAGTATATACCTTTCAAATATGAACATTTCCACATATAAAATAAATAAAATATCCAAAAACTTTTACCTCTAAATCATCTATTACATTATACACGTCACCAACGAATTCATACGCAAACATTACCAAAATGGTTACAAATACTTAGTGTCAAATATTTAAATTATTTCCATGCACGTTTACTTCACTAAACGTATACCAAATTCCTACAAACATTAAATTCACAAAATAACTATCATTTAATTAAAATATCACTAACCATGTACATGTCGACTTATTTTACTTAAAAAAACATCCCAGAATTGCACAAAAATGGCATTGCACACTCTTCACTATATCCATGTACACTGCTTTTTTCTCATAAATTAGAAAAATTTCATAAAATGCATGAATACTCAACGTATTCTACTCAAAACGTTTTCCAAAATACTACAACATATAACTCACAAATCACGATCATTAAATTAAAATAATTAAATCAAAAAACATACTAAAATATAAATAAGCACATACATTTAAATTAAAAAAATTAGATTACAATCCTAATTACTTTAAACTAAAATCATTGTTAATAAAAAATTTCCAATAATATCATATTAATTTTTTACTCCTTACATTTAGAACAATGCATAAAAATAATATCCTCAAATGATTAAAAATAACTTACCTAATTCAGAATCTTATTACGTGGCAAGCACACTTCCATTTTCACACAACACACAATGAAGCTTAATACTGCAGCTATAGTACTGCAGATGTTTTTCCAAATTTATCCCCTTTTCCGATTAAAGAACTGTAATTTATTTGTCCATTAATGTCACATGCCATATCTCATGATCTCTCATTTCCCCTCACACAAAATAATGCGTAAATCGGAACTGAGTACTTCTCACATTATTACCAAAGTCCTAGGTAGTAACCTTTATCGCCTCCAAAATGTTGCCAAACTACCAGTTACCATATTCCAAAGATCAGCCGTTTATATTTCATATTTAGTTTACTGCTTCGTATTTATTTTGAATGAGTAACCATTATTGAAATTAGTGTTCTTTTGACATTATTTACAAATTCGTAACTGTAATTAGGCTTCATGATTAAATTGTGCATGTAGCAAACATTTCCTAACTTGTTGATATGTAGAATAATTATTTTAACTTATTTGATATTCATATGCCTTTGGCCCTGAAATTAAAACCTCTGTTAATAAATAACCTGTGTTATATTGTTTATTCCTATGTTAATATTCTATGTTATATATTCCTATGTTAAAATTATATTGGTGTACATCTTTTGTATCAAGAATCTATAAATTTTAAAACTAAACTAATTTGTCCCATGTTGTGCAACTTTTATGCACTATCGTCTTAAGGTATTCTTTTGAAATTTGACGTGCAAATCAACCGTATGGTAAATTAACAGGCTAAAGTCTAGATTATTGATGCCGAACTGAAGAATTCTCAAGTACAAATGTTAAATATCATTAACTGGCATTATTTTTTAAAAAATGCCAGTAAATTTAAGCAAAGAGATTTGAATATAAACAAAATTTCAAAATGACTGTTATATAGATTTCATTACTTTCAATTTTAAATCTCTAGCTAAGATTCTCCAGTTTGGTACACCTTCTATATTACCTGTCATTTCAGCTGTTATTTTTTCCGCATCCCGTCTTTCCTTCTGCAATTTCAGCTCCTTGTTCCAAAAGGGTTTACTATTTGGAATCATTTGTCTAACCGCCTTCAAAACTGTATTACAAAATTTCTTATTTCTGGTATTAGTAGAGGAGTTGGCTAAATCAATATCCCTAACTCTCTTTTCAAGCATGTTGGAAAAGGCTCCCCAGTATACCTCTCTAAAATTCCAGGATTTCTTAGCTTTCCTAGGATCACAAACATTTTCCCTGTTTTTAATTTCTATAGTGCAGAGAATCATGCGATGTTCAAAACCTGGATCCTCTAACACTTGTTTCTCTGCATCTTATACCAAATCTGGATTTGTAAATGAATCATTATAGTGAAGATATGAGGGCATGTGTGTACTCCTAAAAATCAACTGGAGTTGATTTGCACTAATAAAATATTCTAGTTCTCTTCCTGTAACATTATAATCATAGTACCCCTATTCAAATGAGTAAGCATTGAAATCACCTATCAGAATAGTCTTTTTCCAATTTCTAATCTATCAAAATTAGGTTTATTTCTTGGAGAGCTATTCGTAGAAAGCACCTGAAAATGCCTTCCTTCTTTCCAGACATCTATTTTTGCTATTTCAGACTTTTCCTCGCCTTCCTTCATCTCCTTAACAGTTGAAAATTTTCCAGTTAGCATGTATCTTATTCCAATCAGAATACCACTGGCTATCTGTCTAATCTTCTCTAGATTAAATAATTATAAAATTTCAAAAACTAAATCTCTCACTGTAAACTCTAGCTTCTGCAATAGTGAAAAACACCCACTTCAAGCTGATTTACTGTAATTTCCAGCTCAGCTTTCTTAGACTAGTTTAAGCTGCCTGCATTCCAATACAGCACACATAATACAGAATTTTTGGTGAAGCTAGTGTTCTGCAAATTGTAATAGATTTAGCATTATCCAGGGTAACCACGAGGAGGCCTACTACACTACATCATCCACACCCAAATATATGCATCTCAAAGCCCAAATTTTGAATTTATTTTTATTTACTTCATCTTTTGTATAAATGTAATGAATTTTTGTCTAATAATCTTAGCAATTTATAATCACTGTATTGCAGTTGCTTGATATAAAAACAGTGTTCATACAGTCCTTAAAAAGTACAGTAGAAGTCCAGAAATCCGCAATACTTGGGACCAGAGGCTGTGCGAATTTTAGAATTTTTTGAGAATTTTAGGACAGGAAAGATAAATTTCAGATTAAAAGAGCAAAATAAATAAGGCATATTATATACAATTAAATTATTATATATAACACATTGTTCAGTAAGTCCCGGGATTAACTAAAAAAACAACACCCATTTCACAGAATTCACATTTATTCATCAACATAATCACCGTCAAGATCTTTGCAATCATTCCAACGCTTTTCTAACTTTTTGATAACATGCTTGTAAAACGATTTGTTCTTGTTCCCAAAATATCAGTGGCAGCAATGACTTTTTCAAATCTTTTTCCCTGGAGCATCTTTTTGAGATCAGCAAACAGCCAGTAGTTGTTTGGGGGCTAGATGTGGGGAGTATGGTGGGTGGGGAAGCAGAGTGAAGCCCAACTTGTTCAATGTAACGAGTGTTTGCATTGACTTGTGGCTCGGGGCATTATCTTGATGGAAGATGATTGTTTCTTCTTCATGTGCTTTTTGTGTGTGTGTGTGAATTTCATCCTTCAGACGCACCCATAACTCACTCTAATAGGTGCTATTGATAGACTTTCCCTTTTCAAGGTAGTCGATTAAATTATACCTATTGCATCCCAAAGCACTGATGCCATGACTTTGCCAGCTGTCTGTTGCTGTTGTTATTTTTAATTTTTGGACGCTTCGGATGGCTTTCACCGGATGCACGCCACTCAACTGACTGCCTCTTCAACTCCGGAGTGAAATAATGGATCCATGTTTCGTTCATTGTCACAAACCAGTGCAAGAAATCCTGTTTATTTCAAGTAAACAGTGACAAACAGCTCTGTGAATCGTCAAGTTGTTGTTACTTTTGTTCCATTGTGAGAACACGCAGCACCCATTTGGAAAACACTTTTTTCACTTTTCTCATGCCCAACTTTTCATGTAAAATTGTACACGCACTTCCAGTTGATAAGTTTACAATCTCAGCAATCTCACGAACTTTCACTCTGCTGTCATTCATCACGATTTTAAACACTTGTTTCACATTTTCTGGAGTGACAGCTTCATTTGGCCTACCCGAGCGTGCAGGATCATTTGTATCCATGCGACCGTGATTGAAATCAGTATAACAATGGCAAATGGTGGTTTTTGGTGGAGCAGAGCCTGGATAACATTTTTCAAGCCATTGCTGAGCTTGGACGGTATTTTTGCCCATTAAATAGCAATGTTTGATCAACACTCGAAATTCGTTTTCCTCCATTTTGTCCACAAATGCACAAGTAGTACCACTTTCACCACAATAGCTTCGCTATTTCCGGTTCGAATGCCATGAAAATGACCCGTGTCATTCTAAGATTAGTTCTTTCGAACAACATAACATAAGTTGATATTACTACATCATCTGTCTGTTAGTCCCGGGACTTATTGAACGATGTGTTATGTATTATTCATTTACATTAGTGATTACAGGGATATTAAGGGCATACACAATAACACTATTCATTTTTTTTACATGTTTCAAACCTTTTCCTGATACAGATTTGTTTTAAAACTTTAGGGTGCTCCAGAGTAAGTTTTTTTGTAAATTATATAGAGTAATAATCTCTTAATCATAATCTCTGTGACACAGCTCTGTTGTTCTAAAAATTTTAGGCATTTTTCATCATGTTCCAAACTTTCATTCATTAAAAGATATTTTCTCACTCCTATGAAATTCACTATCTGTGTTGATGTCGGAATCATCCTCTTGCTGTGGCGAGTTCAAAACAGTGCCAATGATTTCGTTATCGGTCATCGGTTCAGTGTTGGCTCATCTAAACGCACCATCCATGTAACAATATCTTCTTGCAAAGCCTCCTCATTTATTCTTTCTTTTGAATATAAAAGCAGTTCTCTTGCATTAACCCTGGCTGAACTGACCCTAAAACCAGAAAATTCATTGTTATCATTCTCAGTTTCAATAAAGAAGAAAGATGGCCGTACATTAACCTGGCATTTACTAATGTTGTTTGGGAAACATAATTCTTTAGAAATAAAACAATAAATCCTAGCAAATAAATGCCATCTTTGATGGTGAATTGTTTTTATTATCACAAACTGAAACAGAATGGTGACTTGAAAGAATATTTTTCAGAAACTCTGATTTATAGTGGCATTTAAGACCGTATTATGTCCTGGTCCATTGGTTGGATCAATGATGAAATATTTGGGGACAAAAAAAGGGCTGTGACATTATCACATGTTAAAGTGGTTGTATGTGGGTGTGCAGAGCAGTTGTCTAACAATAGTAAAATTTTGCAGTTTGATGGTAACTCCACACTGTTATACTGTGCCCTCTAGCCTCTTTAACGAAATGCTTCATGAACCATTCGGTAATAAGTTGTTTCGTGAACCCAGAATTTTTAGTATTCCTGTAAAACAGAGGTAAGAAGAAGAAGAAGAAGATTAGGGCATTCCCCGTATCGAGAACTCAATCTCATTCCGGGTCCACTCCCCCTTTGGGCACATCGTGGTGGTTCAACCTCCACTATTACCCTCCAGGAGAGCAGCGCACCACCTGGGGACGCACCCCAGGCAGCACCGGTCGTCTAATGCTCCTACCAGTCGCTTGGGCGAGCCCGTCGCAGCGGGACATTACCCAGCGACCCCGGGGAAGAACCCCGGGTTACTAGTACCACGCCGCGCTAGGACGTGCCAGACTCCGGGGCCGGCCAATAAGTGACCTTTCCCAGAGCCTTCAGAACCACCAAGTTCATAAATTTTATACCCCCGTGGCCGAGACTGCCTAGGTACAGATCCTAACCAGTAGCTTCGCAGAGTTCTCTACGTCGACCCCCGGGGGGGATAAAACAGAGGTAAAGATTTTACAGTACTATTCGGTTTTGATGATCGTACAAAATCGCCAAAGTAGTGTTGATGCCAGTGCTGCCAAAAATAATTGCGGCAACCCTAACACGAGAAAGGAAGTATAATAGTAACTAACTATCTAAGATTGATGTTTTAATTTAGATGAAAGGCTAATTTCATAGAATACTTTTTTTATTATTATACGAGGGTTGGAACTTTAATAGTGGCAACTATTTATTTACAAGGAATACAAAAGTGATTCATGTCACCATGTTTTACAGTCCTTCAATATAGTTGCCAGCATTGTGTACAACCCGTTTCCAACGATGTGGAAGTCGCAGAATACCTGTAGCAGCGCCTGTTTTGTTGATAGTTTGAATGGACCGGTCTACTGCCGCAAGAATCTCAGGAACAGTTTGGAAGCGAGTGCCACGAAGTGGTTTCTTCATCTTAGGAATTAAGTCATAGTGACAAGGGCTTAGATCTGGGAAGTATGGTGGATGGTAAAGCACTTCCCAGCCCCATCTCTTGAACAAATCAGTCACAGCTTGCGCTGCATGCGGCCGAGCATTGTCATGCAAAATGAGAGGAGCGTTCTGCAGAAAGTGTCGCCGTTTTTTTCTCAAAGCTGGTTGGAGATTGTGCTCCAAAAATGAGCAGTAATACTGCGCAGTGACGGTCTGCTGTGGGGCAGCGATATACGTTAGGATGACACCATCACAGTCGTACACGAGAATCACCATAACTTTCACATTGCTGGGGTTCTGACGAAATTTTGAACGTCGTGGTGACCCGTGATGACGCCATTCATTTGATTGGCGTTTCAGTTCTGGCTGGTACGATCGGGCCCAAGTCTCATCAGCGTAATGATACAGTGTAAAAAAGCATCTCCTTCACGCTCATAGCACTCCAGGTGGGTTCGGGCAGCATCGTATCGTAGCCATTTCTGCATTTCCGTCAATTGATGTGGAACCCATCGTGAAGCAATTTTTCTCATGGACAGGCGTTCCTTCAGAATGTGCAGCACCAGTTGTATGCACTAATCCTGTTGTCCGGCCATCTGACGAATCGTTTGGTAGCAATCACTGTCCATTAGTGCGGCAACAGCTTGCACGTCTTCATCGCTGACACTCGGACGACTTGGCCGCAGCATGTCTGCCACGTTTTGGCGTCCTTCATTGAAGGCTTTCACCCATCTTGCTACGTTTCTGTAAGGCAAAGCAGATTTTCCCACAAGCCTCTTGAAGCCCTTGATGACACTGTCGTGCTGTTCGACCTCTGGCAATTTCAATTTTTATCCAACATCGTTGTTCTTGTTTTGAAAACATCCTGAGAACACTTACTTTAGATCACGAGCTAATACAAGGATTCGTTCTTTGCGTCACTCCGCATGCACGTGATGTAGGCAGGACGAGTCTTTTTGCTGAGAGGTAAGGTAGGTATTTAGTTCACGTGTGGTATACGCGATATTCTTTGGTTTTGTTGCGTAGCGTTTTTTCAGCTGTGTTGCCACTATTAAAGTTCCAACCCTCGTAATTTATATAAAAAAGGCTAAACATGACTGAATGGAAGCGTAAGAGTAAATAACTATTCTGGAGGATTGCACATCTTCCAGAAATCACCTTACCTCATCAATCTCTTGACCAACTTGAGAGCACTTATTTTCCTTTGATGAGTCAGAGGCTCAATATTTGTTTGCAATTGCATAGCGTGGATAGGAGTAGATAATTCTCCACTGGTGAGGATTCTCAAGGCATTATTTTGAGTAGTTTCAACCCTGTTCTGTATTGACTCAGAAGCAGTTAAGAGAAATTCACCACCATATTCGACAGCAGGCCTAATATAAGATTTATAAGTGGTACAGATTAGATCTTAGGTAGTACCCCACTTTAAATAGACAGTCTTTTAAGCAGTCTGTTTTTGTTGTCCCCTATACCCAGTATCCTGTTGGCCTGTTTATTCCAAAACAATTCCCAGGTACACTGTCTATGATAAGAAAAGCTCTCGCCAGTTAGTCTGCAGCTATCTGTTGACGTAGAAACGAGCCTTGATCCATTTTCCGTAGTTGTATCTTGAAGATTTACTTTTCAGTTTGCCATCCTGGCGTATTTAAAGATAAATTGGCAACCTCTGATTCTCCCCTATTTGAAATATACTAATCCTGTTGCTATAGCGACCGCCACCCGCCAGACACTGTGGCGGGAGCTGTTCTTCTCATAGATAGACAGTAAGCCTTTCAATTCCTGTACAGCTGTCGGTCTCCATAAAATAGCTATATCTCTTTAGGTTTGGTACTGAGGGTAAAAACCTGAAAGATTGCCTGACTCGTATTTACAATCATTTCATTGATTTTTGACCAAGGGGCATCAAGAGCAATATTAAATGAATCCTGGGTAATATGGATGTCCCGGTCAGCAGACCACAAAACAAGGTCATCAGCAAAGAGAAGAGTCTGCACCCCAGGATATGAATTCATAAGCTAGTGAACAATATCGTTGATCATGATGTTGAAGAGAATAGGACTAGGGACCGAACTCTGAGGAAGCCCTTATCTAGTTTGTCTGTAGGCAGAGACAGCTGATCAAAATTTACTTCTGATAAAGTGTTCGTCCAAAAAGATTTAATCCAGCGATACATATTTCCACAAATATCGATATCGATTAATTTCCTGAGCAGCCCTTCTCTTCATACTCTATCAAAGGCCGTCTGGAAGTTGACCAACATTGATACAGTATTCTTTTTAATATGGAAGCCAACTTTCATTCCCTGTGTGAGTGTTGATGTCTGTTCAATCGTATTTATTTGTTTCCTAAATTTGGCCTGTCTATCAAAAATAAAACAGATTTTCTCAGTATAGTGATTGAGTCTATTTACGGTGAAGCATTCAGTCAGTTTACACATTATGCTTGTAAGTAATACAGTCAAAAGTCATTAATTCGGACACACATAATCCAGAATGATCTATAATCCGGACCTCAAAGCTACAAACTTTCTGCGCATAGGTGCGCGTAAGACCTTTATGGCTGCGAATGTGCGTGTGCACGTGCGCATAAAAACGTTTACGCATGCGCGTTTAATGTATAACGGACGGTATAAGCTAAGCTAAAATTATCTAATTCAGTTAATGTTGCAGATTGCGTTGTTCCTTAATCTTCGAATTGGATCCGGCTTATTATTTTTTTGCAGACTGTTAGATTTTATAAAAGTAAGTAAAGTAACTTTATAAAAATAAGCTTGAACTTTCGATTATATCAAACAGAATTTCCAATATATATTTGCTAATATATAAAGGATCTAAAGCGAAAGTATGTTTCGAAATCTGTTTATCAATTTCACGCGGGAGGGGGGGAACGCAATGGCGCGCTATGAATTGGAAGTTGATCTGTCAGCACTATCCTTATCTTCAGGGCAGAT